TTGCACGAACGCTATTCTAGACACTCTCAAACATCGAGATGTAGGTAAAATGGACACACTGAACCAGAAAATGGCAACTGTGACCCCTCATTATGTCCCCGAGGTCATCTCAGGTCACGAACAGAATCTAACAGTTTTTCGCTAATAACTTCTGATAGAGACGTGCTAGAGCGCTGAAAACGCCTTGGATGTGTTCGGCTCGACGTTGCGGATCGACTGATATGCAACATGACCTTTTCCGGTCAGGTCATGACCTTGACCTGAGGTCAAATTTTCAAGTTGACCTTTCAAGGTCAAATTATAGTTCATTCGACGCGTCTCGACGAGAGGAACACGATGGTGGCAAAAGTAATGTCATGGCTCTTTTGAGTCAAAAGTTATTGCCGAAAAAACGTCTTTCGTAAAAACGGCTATTTTTGGAGTTTTTGCCCTCTGGAGGATAAACCGTTGACCTGAGGTCAAATCTGAGAACATTACTCAGAAAGGTCTGTAAAAGGGCTATCGAATGCGCTTTTCTGCGGCGCTGTAGCTCTATCGGTTCCCGAGATAGCCGTTGGCAGTTTCCAAAATGTTGAAATAGTGAACATTTGACCTTTGGTGACCTCTGGTGACCTGACCTTTGACCTGACCCAAAAAATGACCGAAGTGTTTTCGTCCTTATTTTGGACGTTCTTTCGATTGCCGCTTACCGCGTGTCGCTACGTGGCCCAGGAGCCGAGTTAGAAGGGGGGGGGGTGTTCAGACACCCCCCCCCCCGGCCCGGCGCGGAATCTCAGAGCACCGGCCCGGCGCGGGTTAACTTACTTTTGGGGTCCCAAAAGCCGCTCCGTAGGTATAAGCCGTTCCGAATCACTGGTCTTGCCGTTATTAGTTCGTGCCACCTCAGACCCATAGGGAACTTTGCGCACTGTCAGCGTCCATGCTACGCTGACGTCCCACTGGCCTATGTGACGGGCACCTGACAGGCCCTCCCGTTTGGTTTCAGCTGAGGAGAAAACAGGTTCATCCCCAGTGTCTGGACCAGGAGCAGGGCCAGCCGAATCAGCGCTCCACCACGAACGCTGTTCGCCACCACATGCGCATATTCGTCTTCACGTTCAAGCTGGCCTGCCTGTTCCTGGTGTGCTCGCTGCCTTACAAGCTGGCCATTGTGCTCTTCTGCCTGGGAGCACACTCGTCCGTAAACCTGATCCGTGTGCTCGCCCTGATCCGAATGATGTACTTCATCCTGGACGGATGGACGTTCTGTTCCAACAGAGAGCTCCTCGATGCCGTCAAAGCTATGTTCAAAATTAAAAACTCTGGTGAATGTCTGTCCGACCGAAACATTGTGCTGACAACAAACTCTGGTCCTGGATAAGGCTAGATGGGACCCGAAGTCTTGAAAACCTAGTGGCGAATGATGCTTAGCAAAACCAAACCAAAGAAATAGAAACCTCCGGCAATAAAATGCCGTGCTGTTATTGCCGAGTTCACTTATCCTAGATTAGAAACTGAACGGCCCTGGCGATGAGGTTGGAGATATTCGATGCCTTGTTACTATTGACGGGACATAAAAACAGTACGAGCACTAGTTCCTTGTAACTGTGACTGTACTTAGCTCAAAGATAGACCCGATCAAGATACGCATAGACAGCATAGGCGGCGGAACGGGGAGGGCACCGGGGCACCGTGCCCCCTTTGATTTTGGCATTTTAACATGAGCCCTATGGGCGTTGCATGGAAAGAATGGGACCAAAAGTCGGCAATGATTAACTGAAGGTGTTCCGCCGCTACTGATAGACAGGACAGGGACCCTAACAGCTAGTTTGTAGTATTGGCTCCTTGAAACCTGATGCGACCATAGGTACATAAAACAAATGATCTCAAGTATCCGTCCGATAGAAATAATGTACTTTATTATGATGTGGAGTGTTTAAAATGGGAAGCCTCCAGCTTCTGATGATGGTACACTGTAGAACGCTTCAACATCTCGTGCAGATGTTACAGATGACATTTGGCTTGAAGCTAAATGTTTATATAGGTTATGGTACCGAGTAATTCACTCAATTTCGGGGACACCTGAATTGATTTACCCATACATTGTGCACTTCAAAAAAAAACTTTGTCAATATATGTATTCTCAGGTAAGGCGTCCGGTCACGTCAACTGTGCGAGTTTTGTGTGAAAAAAGTTCGTGTCATATAGTGGATAGGTATAGGTGAACACAGATCACAGTAGGCGGATGAAGGTCTTAGTTCAGGAATGTCTGGAATTCTGGAATGTGTTTTATGTGCTTGATATTCTGGAAAGTGTTGTCTTATGAAATGTCATAAAATCCGAATATCATATTATCATATCATATCATGATCATCAATGTTCCTGACCTGTTTGCTCACTTGGCGTGTGTGTGACCCTTGTCACATGGATGTCATAAGCTGATATAACTGCACGGCACGCCTCACTTGCTGTCTGTTCACTGTGCTGTTGGCAGGCCGTGGTTTGCCGATTAACTCCGTGCTGTTATCAACAACCGGTATGTCAATGTAAAGAGGCCCATTGACAGCATTGTGTTCTGTTGTGGGAGACTTCTGTGTGTGATTGCAGATTCCTGTCATTGAGGCAGGCAGAGATGGTTTGCATATGTGATTTGGCGCGAATGCATAGTGATTATTTGCTTTCCATTATTTATAAGCTGGATGATATGCTGAGCAGACGTACTCACCAGAAATGTCTGCATTAGCACACACGCAAATAACACAGTGTTCCCAAATCCCATATATGTAGCCAGGTAACGCACATTTTTCATTGAAGTACCCAACTTATATTTGGAAACACTTATTTGGAAACACAAATAATTTTAGAATCTGAAAGCGTCTACGTGTCTAACCAGCAGGAGCTAAAAGTTATGAGACGTCTCGCCCGTCGCCTTCAGGTCGACGCTGCCTGCAGACGTTGTAACAAGTCGTCCTAAATAGGTAGCAACCAGTCCGCAGGTCAATAAAACATAACGGATTTGAACACAAGTATGTTTTTTGCTCACAAATGTCAACTTCTAGCGTATCATTTTGGGTGATGACAGAGTGTCGACGACACTGGCAGATCCAGAAAGGCAGTCTTGGACGTTGAGGGGGGTGGGGAACTACCTCCCCGAAGAAGTTTCCCCAAATTCCAAAAACTCATCGGATTTCGATTCCTTACGAATTGCTTTGCAGTTAAAACAAACGAACTTTTCCTAATAAAAGTTTAGTTTTTGTTTTATATTCTTGTAAAAAACGCAAATTTGTGTCACTTTTGGGCGCTCTGGTGAGGGACATTTTCCCCAAATGCCTCCCCGCCGGATTCGCCAGTGATCGACGATTTATCCAAGTGGATTTATATAGCTAGTGTGCATATCGCTAAGATTATTGGCTATGTTACGCTATATTATTGTTCTGCTTTATATTATATTATAAATATTTATATTGGTAGTGTGCACTGTGCGTATCAACGATTATTAGGTATGTGCATACCTATGTTAGTACCACACATAAGATCTTTGCGGTGTTTCTCTATCTGAAGCGTTTCTTACAATCGAAGTTGATTTACGGGATGCCAAACGTTTCTGTCGATTACAATCCTTACAGCTTAACACGCGCACCGACGGGGGGCAGATATCCGCCCCCCCCCTGAGGTTTTTCGCGAATAGCGGGAAAACCGGCGGCGCTGCGCCACGAAATTTGGTACGACTATTCTCTCATCAATTTTACACATGGTGTGCAAGTTTGAACCTCCTAACTTTTTTAGGTCAGGTCACCAGGTCACTTTGAATGACCCAGCCTCAAGTCACTTTTTTGCAACTTTGTCACCGTGCCAGAGCTACAGTAGATGTCGGAGGCCTTTGAAATTCGCAGGATGTTATTAGGTCATTAGTAGCTACAATTTGTTTACCTCGGAATTTTGATATCGGTGACCTAAGGTCAGGTCAATTTCGCGACCTCCCCATTATAAGTCAATGGGGGAAAAATCCACTCCCTGTTTTTACCACTAAAACGGGTCGGAATGGCCCCATATACCATACATGATTTCATATACGATCAACCTTCACTACCTTGAGGACTGTTTTGCTGTTGGGCGGCTGTAAGGTCATGTGACGTCATCAAAGGTCACAAAAGGTTTTTGCCAATAACTCCGTACAGGAACAAGATACAGCCGCGCGGATGGTCTCATTGTGTTCAGCTCGTCAAGACGCATCGAATGATATACATGATGACCTCGAGGTCACGTGACCTGAGGTCAACCTTTGACCTTGACCTTTCGAGGCCAACATATATATATCATTCGATGCGGATTGACAAGAGGATCACGATGATGCACTTAGTTTGTTTCTATCTTGACTAATTCGAAAGTTATTCGAGAAAAAAATCTCTCCATATCTAGCGCCGCCATTTTGACTTTTTCGACCCCTGTGACGTCATCTTTGACCTGACCTGAAAATGACCTAAGTAAAATTTTTTAGACCTTGTCCGTGCGTATCCGATGCTTTTTACCGCTTGTCGCTATCTTGCTTCGTTATCGAGATTTCAGGGGGGCGGTCATCCGCCCCCCCCCCGTCAGTACTAAGTTGGCGCAGACCCCCGTCGGTGCGCGTGTTAAAGGCTAATGGGCACTATTGAGAAGAGAACCGCTAATAAGTCCCAAATCATAGAAGAACAAAAATAATTCGTTTTTCTCTGCACATTATATAGGGAAAAATTTGCATTGGTCAAATTTAATAGGTATATGAGTAAGTTGATCGAAACATCTATTTTTTGAACTACCAATCAATATCAATGGTGATTGACAACTTTTCGTAAGCGTAAGAGTTCCATGCATGCAAGACTTCAAGGTGAGGAGTTATACTATTGATTGCGTGCGGGTAGGTAGGTACTCATTTCCGTGAATTGCTATATATCTACATAATTTTTCCGACGGAAGGCACTTATTACCGAAAATCGAAGATGTCCAGTGAGGTAGACAGAATCACAACAAAAATTCGTGTCTTCGTAAAAATATGTATTTCGGTATTGTGAAAACCATTTGTCTGGTTACAAAGACAAATCACCTATAAAATACGAAACATACTCGTATCGATCCATTCACCATACTTTCAGTAATGAAACAATGAAATTCTATGAATGCATAAAGATGAGGGATATGGACGACCCACACCGTTTTGCAAATAATGAGAAACGCTCGTACCTGCGTAGTCAGAGTATAGGTAGCTTCAACCGCTTACCAGCGACTACATAAATAACAACAGGCACTCTGGTGAAGTGGTCCCGCCACGCACACTATTTGCGCATAACACCCCGACCTAGCCCAGTGCTGTTCACGCAGCACTTACATTCACACATTCACACACTGCACTTCGCGCACATACTCGTCGTTTATTTTTTTATTCTGGCTTATTTCTGAGTGGGCTGTTTTGAGCAATAACAACGCGGCGTCAGCCAGTGGCCGGGAGCCGCCGCCCCGCCACCGGCAGACGCCATAACAAGCTTATGGAGACGCTGGCGGTGAGCCGTTTCTCCCTGCGCCATCCCCGGGGGGCGGTGTGCTGGTGGTGGTGCCCGTGCGGCAGCGGCCCGGCGCGGGGGCAGTCCGCTCCGGTCCGCCGCCGGCGGCCGCACGGGCACGGGTCGGCAGCGCCGTGCACGCTGCCGATCCTGGTAAACATTAACAACAGTCAGCCGGTTGAAGGCTGAACAGGAGCGGCTGGGCGGCCGCGCGGTGGTGATGCTGGTATCCGGCGGGCTCGGAGTCTGGGATCGGCTCGCTGTTAGGTGCCGTGTCACAGCTCGGGTGCGGCACCGCGGCTCCGTCGGCGGTGGTCGGTCGAGCGGTGTCGAGCGCCATCTGTGGCTGCCGTGGTCGGTGCTGCCTCCACTCGTCAGCCTGGTGGGGACCTCAGGTGGGAATCGGCCGCGCGGCGGGAGACTGCACCGAAGCGGTGGTGTCTGACCGGCCGGACACCAGGCCCAGTTAAAGCTTCGGATGTGTCTCCTGTTGTAGCTTAGTGGTGCCCGGATGGCCTGCCTGCCCATCAGGACATCCAGACTGTCCTCATTCAAATCTGAAACAATAGAGACCTGTGTTAATCGTTAGACATGAAGCTAAGTTGAAAATAAATGCTTTTCTGACCGAACCTTTTTTTACACACGGAGCAGGGAGACATTGTGAAACAAAACAGGGTATCTATTTAAATTAATGCTCGTTCAGTTGCAAAACCTGTCTGTCCCTACAGCGAACATTTCCCGAGAAATAAAACCGTTTCGACAGCGATAGGAAACCGAAACGGCACGCAGTACGCACACCAGTTGCATTCCAATACGACGGAGAAACAGAGCAAATTACCGATCAGCACGACGATGTCTCGAATGTAGAGCACTCTGCACACCAGCGCAGAGCGCTGCGGCCCGAGATACCGATCGAGCTGCGCCACCTGTGCACCGGGTGGCGTGCACGGTGCACCGCTCGGCGTGCACGGCGCACCCTGGGGGCGGCCCCGTCCGCTGCGCCCGCCCGGAGACGGCAGTTAGGAAGGGGAGGGGAATAATGAGGGTTGCTGGGACCGGCACTGACGCTCCTCCATTCGCCGGGTACACGGCGGTAGGGGGAGGGTGGACCGGTGTCATTATGTTGTGCGAACCGACGTGCATTGAGAACGAAGCTGCAGCCGCCATGACAGTGGCGGATAGCCTTCGGAAGGCGTTGGATTTGGAAGTGCGTGACTTTCAATATTTCAAGACAAACCTGTTGCCCACGCAAAGCATCCTGCTGCAGGCTTTGACAAGGGTCGATCGATGACCTTTGATCCGAGACAGGGCTTATCAGGTTTGCCATTGGGTGTATGAAACGCACAGCGAAGCCAACGCAAGGTTATCGCAAGCGGGCTTATTTTGGTGTTGACATTGAATGACATCTATTCATCAGTCTACGAAAGGCTTTGACCTTTACCTAGGTGCAGTATCCAACGATAGTCATCGTCCTTTTGTAAAGGCTATTGCCAATCTTTCACGCTGGGTCATAGTCTTGAAGACGGTAGGTACTGCGTAGCACAAGTGTATTGTATACCGCTACCAATTTCGGCATTTTGTTGACACGACTGCTGTGTGACGATTTACGTCAACACGGTAACCTTTGTGATGCTTTCATCGAAAAACATGCCCGGAAGTAAAAAAAAAAAAATACTCACCATTATCATAAAGCTGAAGGCGAGGAGGACTTCAGTTGAACTCCAGATAATATTTTCATCGCCGTTTTTTTTTTCTTCAAAGAGCGGCGATCAGTTGAGGAGTGCCCCCTCCCCAGAAGGGGGAGGGGGCACAGCAACCGCAACAGTCGCCGAGCAGACCAGTCTGGAAATAGACGAAGCAGGGTTAGTATTCATCTTTATCATCCTACGTATATCTAGCTGATATCTACAAGTGATGAACATATGCACTTCACAGACATGGTAGGAGGAATACTTGCTATGAGTACTGCAAAAGTAGGGAAGGTGAATGGCAATTTATTGCATAGCAGTGTGCATATTGCATAGTCAGGGTTGTCTGGTATTTAATGTCTTTGGGCGTTGATGCCGCAAACGTAATAATAATGTTTCCCACTCTGACCCAATAAAATGTTCAGTTGGAGACAATGTCCCCAATAAACCCGTCCCATCGCCCTCGCGAGAGATTTAGAGCCCTTCAGTCCCCGCTCCAAAGTGGGGCATTTACACCGTGCGGTAATCCCCCTCCCCCCTCCGTCCCGTCCGGCCCGATCCCTTCTGTCCCGTTACCGGGTGGTTTATCCCCTCCCCACTGTACCACGGCGCCGCCCTGTAATGGATTACCACGGGCCGTCCCCATGGGTACCTGTCAATCTGTCGATGATAGCAGGGCGAAAACAGAGCTGGGGCGAAAACAGGGCCGCTTGTTATGATGGTAAGGTAAGTTGTTCGCATATGGGAAAGAGGGAAAGTTTTTACAAGAACGAGGGCTGAATGGAATTATAAATAGAAGAATGGGCTTTAAATGGTAATTATTTTTTTTGTTACTTGTTAGCTGTCAAAATGTAAAGAGAGGTAAAATCCGTGCACAACTCAACAACTTCACATATCTAACCATTAAACTCCGGCAGACTCATGGCAGATTCACTGGCAGATTGCGAGCTACCGCCCTTTTTTACCAACGTTGCGACTAAATCATTAGTTTTTGTGCCCAATGAATCAGTGCCCAAAGAATATGAAACCAACTAAAGCAGGATTGTGTTTAATGACTTCATAAGGGTAGGCCCAGTGCCTATAGGCAATGGCCGGAAACCGACAATTTTGACTCGATATTGAAATTGCAACCAAATTTGTGTAGTAGGTACCTAATGCGTTTGATATAATAAATCGGGCATCAAATTCAAATGCACAAGGAAGAACTTCATTCAAGTTCCGCTTTAGAAATTGATGATTTAGTTCGCTTCATATCGTAAAAAAATACAGTTCTTTATGACACCGCTCGCAAGTCATGCGCGGAGTTCATGATTTCGCTGGTCTCTGCCCCGCCCCGCCCTGGCCGACGCCATGCCGCGAGTCATCATCGGCCGCTCATCTGTATTCTGTTGTGCGGTGGCGCCGACCTCGTCCGGCGCCACGGAGCGGTCCTCGGGCAAAAACGGCCCATCGCGGCCACTGACCTCACGAAGTGGCCGACCCGGCCGCCGCGCGCCGACCCAGACTCGGCCGACGCGGAAGTTATCAAAACGCCGGGCCAGGAGCAGCCAGCGTGATGCTGTTTTTTATACATAGTTTTAAGCGTTCGTAACAAGAATTTAGCTCAATTTTGATTTCAGCTCAGTAACAAATAAGTAAATACAATAAATCTCACTTTGCCAGAAGAAGAAGTATTTGAAATATTGCTTATAGCGTACATTAGGTATCAAAAATTTAGAGCAACTAAACTAACTTCTTCATTTCTATCAACGCCACGCGAAATGAAACATTGCATTTGACATGCATTAAATGTTGCCATGAAATGCAGTAAAACATTGTGGGCCATTCTAAATTTTATAAGCTGTGAACGACAACATCTACACTACACTACACTATACATCGATCACTACACTATAGTGATCCCTAAACGTCATTTTAAATACCTATTCGAATTCGAGCTTTTGTAGAAAAACATTTGATGATTTTGATGCATCAAATCGATGTGCTGGGATATTTGAATTGGACAATAAGCGGTACATGGAAAATGATTTTTTTCTCGTTTCATCCAATAACATTTACGTTGAAACGTGCGCTATAGGTATACCTTAAAAAATAAAGACACTATTAAAAACGTAGCTATACCTACACGTAAGCGCTCTGACTTTATGAAACATAACTTAAAAAATGAACTTACTTAATGGCATTTAACATAGCAAGGATTCTATCAGATTATCTATTGAATACCGAAACATGCGCGCAACCGAAACGATCAAAATATCCATTACGCGATCGTGACCTGACTTCAAATTAAAAGTGTCCCCTTAATAGAGAAGAGGAAGTCTATAACAGTGAATGATGGACACCTAATAATCCACCATATAATAAAACACAGTACATTTACAACCTAACCGTCTATGTCGGAAGTAAAATACTGTGAAAAATAAAGCATTGTATGATGATTGGGCCAGCTTAACAAAACATTACGTCTAGTAACGCTTACTCACACTTCTTTTGCATAACAATTTCATTTTGATTAATTTGCCAATGTTCTAAGGATCATAAAAAGTAGGACGGTCGTTACCTGTCCCAAATCTCGGCAGTGGTAACACCCGTCTCGGCCCTATACTGGCGGTCACCGGTCAGCGGTCCGGTCCGTTCGCTCACCTGTCGTCGGCGGATGTTGTGTCCGAGGCGTCGGCAGGTGTAGTGGCCGCCGCTCGGGCCCGGACGACGGCCGCACCAGCCGCCCTCCAGTGCACCGCCGCTGTGCAGGAGGTGCGCACGGTCCGGCGCACCCGCCCGACGCTGGCCGTCACCCCCGGCGGAATCGGGTAGGAGGATACCTCGAGAGAGCGTGAATAGTCATAAGGTATCAAATATCAGAGCAAGGGATTGGATGTAGATTCGTTTGCTGACATCTCGGCAGTCGCACTGTTCTCATATAGCTCCGCCGCTAAGTGTTGGGGAGCGCGTCGTTGTCGGGCGGGTTGGTGGCGGCCCGTGCGCGGCTCGTCGTTTCCACCTGCGGCCAGGCCACGCCGCAGCGTTCGCTCCGGAGTCATGGACCCCAACAGGTGTCTGACCTTTAAACTCGTCTCTGGAGGCCGACGCCGCCGGCAACAGCGTCGAGCCGGCTCCCAGATGGCCGGCCGGTGGGGGGTTCGTTTGGACCATGCGGAAGCGATGGGACCGTGACGCCACGACTCTGCGCTTCGGTACACAGGGAAGGGAAGGGCCGGTGCTAGGGAGACGGGAGTCAGCCGGCTGTTGGCTAACGGTCGGCGCCACGGTACACAGACACAAACAACACCACAGACAGGCAAGGGTGTCGGCTGGTGGATCATGGTACCGAATTTCTTCGTAAGAAATGGCTCTTTCCAAACATTTCAAACCTCATCTCGTGGGGCAGATAAAGATGCAAATAAGGACAAAGATCAAAGCTGACAGAAGTCTTCTCGGACTCGGCTTCCCTCCATGAACGCAAATATCTTGAACCTCGACTAGGATATTTGAGTGCGTCAACGGAGACTGCATTGACGCACACGAACGTATCACCAGAAGACTTCAATAGGCAGCTTGCTTCTAACACACACGGCTAGACGGCGAAACACCCACAGAGTTGTCGAACTGTGCTCAGTGCTGGTGAAGTGCACGCAAGATAGAATGCTTCAAGATAAATCATGCATGAATATTGGCAGCATGTTTGTGTACTGCTCGCTATCAGTAATCGATATTTCTGCCATAGGTCCGTAGGACTACGCCTCCTTTATCAACTGCCGTTCATCACGGGCTAGGTTACATTCATGTGAGCAGCTGCAGTCTCCAGCGAAGGGCCTGACTACGCCGCAGCGAGAGAGTTATGACGTTTATGTTATTCACTTTTCTGTTGCGTACTTCCACATTTCAACATGTCCGATTGATTTGTCCATGTCATCGGCATGAATGCGTCCGTCCTAGCCCTCGGGGCATTCCACGATAGATCGTACCACTTTTTTTCCAATTTGACACCCTCATCTCTCGGAATTTGACGAGAATTGGTCTCAGGGGTAATCAGGGGCTCTGAATCCACCTGTAACAATTTCAGGCTTATCAGATAAGTATTTTTTTAGTTATGGTGTATAAAAAATTTTGGATCCTGCTTTGCAGCGCTAAGTTTGGCGGGCTATAACTCTAAGATGGATTATTCAAATGCCAAATGTTATATAACATTGAACTTGCAATGAAACAGAGATTAATATGTATTTTTGAAATTTCAAAAAATACACTATTTTTGATATATGACATATCGAGTTTTCTTTCATTTGAAGAAAACTCGATATATAAAAAAAATCAATTTTTGTTTTGGACTTTGGGACCAAATTTTTTTGAATTTTTATTTCTTTAAAAAAAATATTTGGGTCATTGTTAAGATGTATGCAAAAAATTAGGAAGGTGTTCTTTCTATAAATGTATTTATTTTACGTCACGATAACGGTTCCGAATAGTGATTTCGGGAGGGGAGCTTACAAATGGCGTGGTAAAGCTGCCTAGTGACATCACGGGTTACTGAAATTTCAGTTGAAGTCTGAGTCATCTGAAAAAATGAAAAGAGGGCTCATCCAACCCTCTTTCTTATAAGCGCGAGAGTGAAAAAGGCTGTTTGGTTCTGACATTGTTTTGGACGCCAATGACCATAGCCGTCCGAGATGAAAGTTACAGGACGCATACATGGTGTCCTCCAGAGGTCTCACAACTTGTATATCTGGGAATTTTTGAAGGTCACATGAGATCAGGTCGGTCACGTGACATCACTGTTATAAGTCAATGGGCAAATATAAAAACTGTTATTTTGGCGCCGAGAATGATCTAAAACTATCTCACGTACATGGTATCGTGATTTCATGCACTCCTTGCAAAGTCCAGTACTTCACTTTTGCATTGTTGACCTTGCGTGACGTCATTTATGACGTCACTAGGGTCGTACGAGTTTTTCGTCAATAACTCCCAATCAAATTGAGCTAGAGAGTCGGGAAATCCACCAATGGACTCGGGAAGACCTTCCGAATCGAATGATATGCCATATGATACCCCTTGCCCAGCTTCGTAACCTGAGAGGCTCTGACCTGACCTTGTCCCGAGGTCAATTACTTAAGTTGACCTCACCCTAACAAAAAGTATACCATTCGACGCACCTGAGCTAGGCGAGCACAATGATGCCAAAATCGCGGTTCTTCGGCCATTTTTGCGAAGTTATTTACTAAAAACCGAACCCGTAACTTCAGTCACTTGACCTGACCTCAGACGCTACCGGTTAACCTGAGACCTTAAAATCGGGTACCAATCGCTGAGACTTGTAACGGCACACAAGGCTCGTTTTTTCCGCGAGGCTCTAGCTCTATTAGAAGCAAAACGGCGTGCTGGGGTCGTATCAACCCCCCCGAAACCCATTTTGTTTGCGGGAAAATGAGGAACTTATAGAAAGAACACCTTTCTAATTTTTTGCATGTCGATTTGCAATGACATGAAGTCTATTTTGAAAAAATGAAAATGTGAAAAATTTTGGCCCCAAAAGTCATTAGAGGCAAATGAAAAAAGATTAAGGTTTTTGTTCAACAATCAAAATTTTTCTTTGGAACTTTTAAAAAATAATATTAATTTTTAATTCATCGCAAGCTTAGTGTTGTTTACCGTTTGTTGGTTGCTTAACCCGTTCTTGAGTTATAGGCCATCAAACTCACCGTTACAAACCGAAGTTAAAAAAATGTAATGCAATATAACTCCAAAAGTTTTGATTTGAGAAGTCTGATGTTTTGCCAGGCGTCTTTGGGGCCTATGATTACCCCTAGGACCGATTTTCATTAAAATCTGAAAGATGAGGGTGACGGGCCTGGTACGATCTATCGTGGGCCCCCCTTATCAACCGCTAAACTTTATGATCGTCAAACATCGTCATACAACTGCCCGCGTTTCACAATTCCACAGACGCTGCAAAACGCGCAGTATCTTCGCATCAGTGGCATATTCGTTGACCTCCGAGGCTTCGGGCCATTGTGACAGATGCAATTGCGTGGTCAAGACTAGGCAGAACAATAGCAGAACAATAGACTAGGAGCTGTGCACAAGAGTAGCTAGAGATAGATTTGTTCTTAAAGTCCAAGACATTTCGCAAAACGTATGACCTTAACCCGCGCCCCACTGGGGTCTGCGTATAACGCGCCCTCCTGGAGGGAGGGGGGGGGGGGGCTCTTCGTCTCCATATCCCCCCTCCTAACTCCGAAACTATTGGGCCGATCGTCAAAATTCAAACGGCGTCTGATAGCCCTGGAAAAATGTCGGTGAAACCTAGTTTCATTGACCTTGAGATCACCGATGACGTTACAGGTCAGGTCAAAGTAAACATTATTAGCATTTTGGCTTCTTCACATTTTGGGCTGTGGCCGCCGTCTTACAAGTCAGATCAGGCTCATTTTTTGTTTACATACTCGTGAACAGATGCTTTAGATATCCTGAGGGTACCAAACTTGTACTTTAATTTTCAGGTCAGGGTCAGGTCATCACAGGTCACGGAAATATCATATCATGCGACGGTCACGTGACACATGTTTTATGGCCGATTTAGGCCATAGATTTCGAATTTGATGTCGTTTATGCCATTTGAGGTCATTTCGAGTTGAATTCAGCTTAGTTCAGGTCACTTTCAGGTCAAATAGGTCAATTTTGAAGCTAAATTTTTTCCAACAAAAAGATGCGCATTGGATTTAGTTTGAGCTCAGAAACACGATAGTGCTATTTATATTGGTGCACGATGTCAAATACGTACTGAAAAACTGATTTGAAAAATTAATCATTGTGATTTTTTTTTGCAATAATGCGTATAACTTAGCCATTTTTGACGATATTTAGCTAAAACTTGCTAAAGTAAGTTATAAGCATGTGTTCTATATTCTGTTTTTTTTTCTTTCGAAAAGTCAAAAAGTTCTTGAAAAAAATAAGAATAAATATTTTGAGTTTTGTTATATATAATTTTCAAAATTTCGAACATTTTGAAAATACGAGATAGCAGTTTCACAGCGCAGTCTGTTCTGAGTCCTCTCATGCAAAGAAATTGGATCCAGCTTAAAAACTGAGCTCTTGGGAGCGATTTCCGTAGTTCAATGTTTTGCGTCTATGGTAGCTACGAAGTTCATATTTTGACACAAGGTGTCAAATTGATGCAGCCAAAGGCACTAAGAGTTTGGCGTCGATACGTCAAGCGGTTAAGAAGTTATTGCAGAAAAACGGGAGGAGGGCTATGAATAGCACCCCCCCCCCCCCTCAGTGGGGCGCGGGTTAACCCGCGCCGGGCCGGGGGTGTTTGAACACCCCCCCCCCTGCGGTTTTTGTTCGTGCATCTTTTCCGCACATGTTGTGAAAATTTCAGACCCAGGTCGCCTTAGGTCAGGTCACCAGGTCACGCCAAGTGACCTCACCTCAGAAAAAAATAAGAATGCTCGTCATAGCTACACCGACTGAACGATTGCCTTGAAACTTTGGAATCTCGGAGCACCGGCCCGGCGTGGGTTAATAGTGACTTGAGCTTTCATGTAATCGTTCAATAATACACTGAAACACGGGACAAACATGCAAAACTGTGTAGGAACAGTATGTACCATCGGCACGAACAGTTTTGAGGATATGGTTTTAACTAACATCTTTTTTCTCGATCCGTTGGTAAGAGGCTCCTTGAACGGAGCACCAATCTTTCACCTCACGGCATCTGAGAAGCACATAACGCC